CGAGACATATGAGGGTCCTGAACACGAGAGCACAGGCACGGCGAGAGAGACTGAGCGAGTTCGCGCGCGGGATGGTGGCGGTGTGGAGGCAAGGGGTGGGCGCCTATTCTGCGAGGGCGGATTTCGACCGAGTGCGCGGAGGGTGTTTTGTTTTGCGGACTGTATCGCGCGCGGGGCGTGTCCTTGTCATAATACATCCTGTATGCATGCTCTGTGCACGATGCGGCCTCTGCGAGCTCGACCTCGGACCGGACTCGGAGTCCGCCTGCTCCCTCCCGTCTCCACTCAATGGACCACTCCTGGCCACTCCCCTCCTACCCCCCCTCTCCTACTCCCCCTCCAGTTGCAGAGTCCGTGAATCTCCCCGCGGCCGTCGTCCTCGCATACTCCCTCCTCACGTGCCGCCGAGTCCCCCAGTCCAAGTCCCCACCGCCACCGCGCATCCCAACGCGCAGCGTCACACGGCGTCACATTCTCGCGGGTGACGTCATCACTCTTCCTTAAGGTTCGACGACGTCGACGATGCAGACGCGCTCAGCGACTCGGCGGTTGCTTCGCTCGACCGTCTTCCAAGTGACGCGACAGTCGCGCTCTCCTGTTCTACTAACGCTTATACGCCGGACTTCCAGCATGCCCTTCAAACGCCCAGCCCCCAATCCGACGCAGTCAGCCTCCGCGTCCGGGTCTTCCTCGTCTTCAGGCTCACCACCTCCCGCGAAACGCTCCAAGGCCTCCATGACCAAGTCTCTGCCGGAGATAAAGGTATATCTTGTGCAAGCGAAACTCGACGCGACCGCTATCGCCGAACTGCTCACCCTGGGAGAACGGCATACGAAGGGCGTTTGTGAGAACGCGGCGGATGCGGACGTTATCATCACGGCTATAAGCATGCGGCGGAGATTTGAGAGGCATGTTCCTTGGGATATTGCGGTAAGGTTTCCTGATCTACCCAGTGATCCCAATATTTTCCATGACCTGAATCGCTCTGACAACGAAACGCGCAGACGTCTAAAGCAGTGGTGACGCCCCAATGGCTGCGCGACTCCATCGCGCACGGCTCCGCCCTGCCTTGCGGGGAATACGTCGCCATCGAAGACTTGCACGAGACGACCGTGAAGAACTGCCCGGACTGCAACTGCAAGCCCTGCGCGTGCGCGGACTCCTCCGCGAGCGCGTCATCTCCGTCGTCCTCCCCAAAACGCGCTAGGCATCTCCCTTCCCCTCCGACATCTCCTAGCGTGTCGCGGCACGGCACCTCGAAACAAGCCGCACTTATACCGACGCATCTACTGCCTCCAGACCCGCCTAACGTGACCGACCTCGCGAAGCTCAACTACAAGTCCCTCTACGCCTGTCAACGGGCGTCCCCACTGGTAAGCCCCAATCAGGACCTCGCGCGAGAACTCGACATCATCCGGCAAAGCCGCGCGCTGGAGGGCGAGGATCGCAGTGCGTTGAGCTACCAGCGCGCCATCTCCGTGATCAAAGGTACGCTGGGCTGATATTACTGAGAAGTTGGTATTGATAGGTATGCACTCAGCGTACCCGGAGAAAATACGGTCACTCAAGCAGGTGCAGAAGCTGCCCTACATCGGTGTGAAGATCTCCGGTCTCGTACGGCCCCATTCCCTCTCCCATCCGCGTACCCGCGCTCACGCCCATCCCACAGGTCGACGAATACCTCGACACCGGTCACATCTCCGAAGCGCGTACGTCCCGTCCCTCCCCCTCCCCTCCCTAGCCACCTCACGCCCCTCTCCAGAAACAATAAAATCCTCCGAGCGCTTCCGCACGCTCTCGCTCTTCACCTCCATCTACGGCATCGGCCCGCACGCCGCGCGCCGCCTCTTCGCCCTCGGCCTCCGCTCGCTCGATGACCTCGAGATCTATTATGGGGTCGAGCCCTCCTCCTCCACCGCCTCCCCTTCATCCCAGCCATCGCAAATCGTCGAGATAGAGGAGAAGGAGAAAACGCGCCAGGCGGGATGGAAGAGCCGGGATAAGGACAGGGGGAAGGGAGATGAGGAGGGACTGGGAGATAGCTGGATCCGCGTCGCGCTCGGGCTGCGGGAGGATCTGAGTAAGATGTGCGTCTGAGTATGCGCGACGACTCGGAACTACATGGATACTGATGAGAGTGGGGGTAGGATCCCGCGGGACGAGGTCGAGGAGATCGGGCGCGTCGTGATGCGCGAGCTCGACGCGCTCGAGCCGGGCTGCGTCTCCACGATCGTCGGCGGGTACGTCCGTCTGCTTTGGGCGCATATATTCGCATTTGGGTTGAGGGCTGATATGGGGTGTGTGGAAAGGTACAGAAGGGGAAAGCCGGAGAGCAACGACGTCGACATCGTGTTCACGCACCCCGACGCCGGCAAGGTCAAGGGCCTCTGCAAGCGCTTCGTTAGACACCTGCACGAACGCGGTACTTCCTCCCTCCCCCTCCCCTTTGCCTCGCGCTGATACCTCGCACAGGAATGGTCACCCACGTCATGCGTACGCCTCCTCCCCCTCCCCTCCTCTATCCCTCACAAGCGCGCGCTAACACGAAAGCAGACCTGTCGAGCTTCCACGCACACGACCCGCTGCGCACCGCGCACTGGGACACGCTCGAGAAGTCGCTCACCGTGTTCGTCCTCCCGGCTTCCTCCGCGCTGAACTCGAGCGTGCCGGTGCGCCGCCGGCTGGACCTCATATTCGCGCCGCCAGAGGTGTATTGGACGGCTGTCGTTGGATGGTGCGTCCCTCTCCTTTCTCCTCTCCTCTCTACGCGGGTGGCGAATGTGAACTCTGCGGCGCGTATGGACTTTGTTATTTGGGGCCAAAGCTGATGCATGCGCGAGTAGGAGTGGGTCGATCATGTTCCAGCGGGACTTGAGGCAATGGGCGAAGGATCGGTGTGGGATGAAGTTTGATAGTTCGGGAATGTGCGTGTCTCTCTCCCTTTCTCCCTTTACTCTTTTCCCTTTTTATATCAGCTGACACGACTCGCACCTCGAAGAACACGCCGGTACGACTCGAAAGAGTTCCACCCGAAGACGGAGAAGGAGGTGTTTGAGCTGCTCGGGCTCGAGTGGGTCGACCCCGTTTGGCGGAACGCGGACTTGTGACTGGGGAAGGTTCGTTTTGTTGCTTTGTATGGGAGGATCTTGGTGTATTTGTTGTATTGGCTCTCGTCTCCCCGCTCTCAAACTCCAGGGTACGTTGCAGGGTACCTCAATGACGACACCTGCCGACCGGCGAAGACGCCGCGCGTATACTGCGCCCGCCACGCCTCTCACAACGCACGGACCACCCTGTCGACCTCCGACCGCCTCCCAACCGCGTCGCATGCGCTGGTGCGTCTCGTCACCGGACGCCGAGGCCTAGACCGTCCGTATCTCGCCGTACGTGCATTACCAGAGCGTGCCGCTACGTACTACGCTGACAAGTTCACGTACACAAGGCGCGCCCACACAGAAATTCGCGTGTACCGCGCTGAATGGCCTCGCCGCGCCCCAGCGTCCGCGTATCACACGCCCAGGACGGGCTCCATCGTCTGCGCGCGCCGCGAAGGAGCGTAGCGGGCTCGGTGCAGAGGGAGCACACCCCGCGTCCCGCGGCCGTCTGGCGGCCGTCCTGCGCCTCATCGTGCTCCCTGCTGGGTGCGTCAGAGTCAGCACCCTCGCTCTGGGGTGCGGTGCGTGCCTAGCTTCTACGCACGCGAATTGCGCTCACGACGTCGGATTTTCAGGCGCCCGGCCCCGCCCACACTCACCCCTTTGCCCTTCACGCGCGACCAGCGCGGACCTGGCCTCGATGCTCGGGACGGCAGACGCTGTGCACGAGGACGCACACGTGCCCCGTGCAGCGCCGCGATCCGCGCAGAACGATGCCGGGTCGGGCTCGACCGATCTCACGGGTCCACCCACCTCCGCGAAGCCAAGATTGCGCACACTCCCTGCGTACCTCACCCGCCGCCGCGCCGCCGCGCCGCTGCGCACATCGTAGGACGCTCGCCTTCTGCGCGCATGAGGTGCGTTCTCCGTCCTCACGCGTGCGAACTGCGCTGGCAATCTCACTTTCTCAGGTCGCTCGGGCTAGAATCGACAGTGCCGACGTCCTCGCGTGCGCACGCCGCCTCGTGGGCCTCCGACAACGCGACGCCGGGTCTATGCACCAGGACGGACGCGCCCCGCACCTTACGGCCCGAACCGAGCAGAAAATATTCACGTCGTCTCGATCGATTTCATGGGTCGACTGGACCACAAAGCAACGGAATTGTCCGCTCCGCGTCGGTCCCGCTCCCAGCCGCCGTACGGCCGCGCCAGCACACTCTGCCGCACCCGGTACGTCGCCTCCCCCGCTCGCAGGCATGTGCGAGGACGTCGCGCGTCGGGGACGTCGCGGCGCCGAGGCCGGCGGGCGCCTGCGCGAGAATCGACGGTGCGCACGACTTGGCATGCGCACCCCACACAGCCAGCGTCCCCCAGAGAGACGGCAGGATGTATGGACCGCGCCACGCACGCCCCCGCCGCCGCGTCGCGATCCGAGGAGACGTCGGTCGCGTCGGCTCGAGTCTCGACGGCCGGGGCGGTGCGAACGGACGAGATCGCGTGTCCCACGACGGTCCCACACCCGGGGACCGCGACACTTGGCAAGCGCACTCCCCAGCACCCCCGGCGACGGCCCGACGCTTACAGGCACGTCCGCGCCGGTTTATTTCTGGGGCGTCGTCGCGGAGCTCGGGCGCTTATACCTCGGGATGGCAATGGCGGCGTCGTTGCGCACCGACGCCGCGTCTATCGTCTTTGCGCGTGGAACGGAGCGCTGTAGGAACAGAGGGGCATGTACCACGCAAGTTCCCGCGCGTTACGAGCAGAATATACGGGATTGTGTCACTTTTCACTGAACTTATCTGCGTCAACAGCACCATTTCAGTCATTCCACGCCCGTTTCGCCTCCTACGGCAGCGAACCTCTGTTTGCGGGCTCGCAGAACCGCCCGCCGTGTTCTCTGCGATTTGCGAGGACGCACGACGGCTGCGCGGCGCGGCAGGACCGTACCACCCGCGCCCCGCCCGCCCTCGGTGCCGTCCACTCCGCGCCCCAACAGCTCTCCCCAGACTCCCCAAAACGCGACAGCGGGCCGTCCGCACCACTCCGCGCACGCCCTCCGCTCTGCGCCGCGATCCGCGCAAAACGAAACACCATGCGACTCGACCGCACTCATGGACCCGCCCACGGGCGACATCACGAAGAAGCGCACGTCGCACCCGCAATCTGTCCTCGGGACACACGCCGCTCCTCAGGGGTACTCGTGGGCACCCCTGGCACCGTCTCCTCTGCTTACGAGGACGCGGGCTGCGCTCGCGCCTCTGCGGTGAGGCTGGGCCGCCGGCGCCTAATACGGCCGACGTGGGCGATTTCGACTTTCTGCGCGGAGGGGGCCGCGCAGGCTCGAGTGCGCGGAGGGGGGGATTTATGGATCCGGACGCGTACGCCCTTGAGGCTGCGTTGCGATCCGAGCCGGTACGACATGACCATCGGCGAGGGCGTGGCATCTCACGGGCCCGAGGCACGAATGTGCGCGTACCGCCCGCGTACTGCGTCCTGTGTGCCACCCACGATGCGAATGAGCTCCCCGATGCGCCGCCGCGGGAGTACACAGGCACCTACACCGTCACAGGACTCCGCTTGCACCTCAAGTGCATCTCTGCGCGCTCGCCTCGTCTCGGACGCCGCCGGCGGTCCCGGAGGCTCGATACATCCTTACGAGGCACCCACAGCAGAGAACGATGAGGGAAGACTCACCTGAGCTATGGATAGCTAGGACTGTGTTGTACGTCGCTGCCCGCGTGCACGGCACCTGTCGCAATGAGCATTAGCATTTACCTTCGTAGATCACGAGTCAGACGTCCCCGTACCTGTGTGCCACAACCCTTCGCGGCCACGCTCTTCTCCTCGCGCGCAGTCGACTCTGATATCTATTACTACAGCTACGTGACCACCCTCGCCCTCGTCAGCTGGACCAATATCCCCCACGCGTACCTCGCACCGATACGGCTCTGCGCGCGGATTCGGCGGTCTGTCAGGTGTGTTAGCCACGTCCGAGTACAGTGCTCCCATACTCACCTGTTCCCGTAGTCCCCACGGTCGGTGTCGTGCACGCGATCTTCACGTATGTCGAGCATGCACTCCTGCAAGCAAGACAGAAATCTCAGGTGCCTCGGCGGCTGCTATCAGCGCGGAGAAAGTAAACACGGTACGTACCTCGCGTCTTCTGAGCATGTTCGCGCTGATATCGGCCCTGCTGCAGGACAAAATAGATGAGAAACTGCGCAAATCGAGGGGCGACGTACCTGCCGCCGTCGTGGGCGCATCCATGGTACACGGGCAGCGGAATCGCGAGGAGGCAGCTGCGGAGGGTCGGACGTCCGGGCACGGGCGCGCGGATGTGCCATGCACGGAGGACGACAACAGAAAGCAGACAGGGAGGATGTCGCGCACCGTGTGCCTGTGCGCAGGTATGTATATATATGCACGCACTGCCGCACGCCGCGCGGATCTCGACCGGCTCGCGCGAGTTTGGCTGTAGCTACGTGAGCAAATGTCAGTGCCCCGACCTCGGACCTCCCCGCGCCCTCCCGCTCACCGTGCGCACTTTCGCTTCGCTTCGCCTCGCCTCGCCGTGGGCTTCGTGGTCCAATTGTGTCTCATCCGGGGTCTAGGGCATCGGCGGACGAGTCCGCGGCGTGACTTTACATGACGAGCGGAGGGCCGGGGCCCGCCTGAGTGAGATGTAAAGCGAGGCGAGAGTATTCGCGGAGGCGAGGACAGAGCGGACCAACGGGGCGCGATCCGGGGCGCGATCCGGGACGCGCTAGATGCGAGTGCATCCGGGAATACGAAACAGGGTACGCCCCAGGTATTTCGTACATGATGCAGGGACGCCTTTCGCGACGGCGCGCTGCTCAAAGTTTGTGCTGCCGGGCGGAGTGCATGTCCCGCCCGCCGGCGCGTTTGACAATGTTCTGTCGACTGAATTAGATTGTGACCGCGCATGCAACGTTCGTAGGTACAGGTGTACGCCTGTGGCATGTACCATGAGATAAACAGGGCGTGTACTTACCGTGAGGCCGGAGGAGCATGTCTGTGCGCGAGGCATTAAGGCTGAGCATGCGAAATCCACTTGCCGACGCATACGGGAACACACTACGGGGAAGGCACCGACAATGTCGTGCCGCCGCGAACATGGGAATTCGATCGAGAGGGTGCGCGGCAATGCTCCTCCCGAGTTTCAGAAAGCGATGATGGTGTTTTGTC